GTAATATGCTGGCCCAAAGAGAGTACAAACGACGTCACGATTGCGTGGGAACAGGGCTATTCTCACTTCCGGCTGGACGTGAGCGACTGAGCGATGAAGCCTTCTATGTTATGTATAAAATTGTCCATTTTCAAACATCAGTGAAAAATCCAAATCTGATATATGGGCCTATACATTAAACAGTGATTCTTTACAAGTTTATGGCAATGACCGTAGATTTCGAAAACAGTAAAATTATTTAAATTGCATTACTAGACTACTAGGCTACTGGTCAATATGGTTTACTTTCTATTTTTCTATGTTGTAATTTTCAATTCAGTTTATTAAAAGTTTATCTGAACTGACACTGATAAATATCTTTGATTTATTTCCTCATACTATACACTATACTCTATAATATATAAAACCTGAGATGTAGACATGCATAGAAAAAAACAAGATAATAACATTCAATTAGTGGTAAATTATTGTAAAACAGTTTTTTTGTATAATGGCTAATAAAAATTAATGTCTATATAGTGAACAAAAAAAAAAAAAAAACAGAAAAACCCAGTAAAACCCAGTAAAACCCATTAAAACCCAACCCCCCCCCAAAAAAAACGTTTTTCCAGCCCTGCGTGGGAAGAAAGATCCATTGGGAATTGTGTCGTAAGTATGGATTGGCAGCATCAGAAAGATGGTATGAACATCAACAAGAAACGGTTACCGAAAACGAAAGCTGTAAGTTATTGTGGGATTTTAATGTTCAGACAGATCATGTCATTCAAGCCAGAAGACCTGATGTCATTCTTATTTATAAAGAAAAGAAAGAATGCAAAATTATAGACTTTGCCATACCGTATGATAGTAGAGTGAATGCAAAAGAGATGGAAAAAAGAGAAAAGTATCGAGAAGTACAAAAACTATGGAACATGCGAACGAAAGTAATTCCTATTATAATAGGTGCACTTGGGACAACCCCAAAGAAACTTTCCAAAAGATTAGATGACCTTGGAATAAGAACACGAATTGTTGAACTGCAGAAAACTGTTATCATCCACTCTGCAAGGATCCTCCGCAAAGTGCT